GATGTGGCGTACATGGAGAGTACGATATTTACCGGGACTTTTTCCACGGCAGCGTGCGCCCATGCACCTACTCGTCGAACTGTGGAAGCACGCGAGCAGACGTCGACGGTTCTGGATCACCTGGTGACTCACATTGTGGACGTACCCTTTTTTCTTGCCCGCAGCGCCGAGGAGCGTGCACACGGATGCAGCTTGTCCTTGGCCACTGCGGCGTGTCCAGGAACGAAGCTTGTGGTGCGAAATCCGAGAAGGCGTCTGACCTCTCACAGCTCACAGACACATGGACCACCGGCATCGTCGCATTGGCCAAAAGTATTATTCGTGCCCGACAGCTCAAGCCAGAGGCTCGCCGCTCCGCCGTAAGAGGCGACTGGGAACCCACGCGCACGGACGCCACCCTCACTCGTGGGGAAGAGGCCGCACTGGCCCGCCTCCGCAGCGGAGTTTCGCACAAATACGGATGGCTGCTACGGCCACTGCAACCCGCCATCCCACGCACATGCTGTTGGTGCGGCTCGGATCCCGCACAGCAGGCACGCAAAGAACTTCGCACGGAAACGCCGCCTTCTCCCGCTGGACCTCACCCCGCCACGATCCGACGCCCGGCAGACTGCCCGGTGTGCGGAAGGCACTGCAGCTGCCGCACTGGTGTTGTGGCGCACATGGTTGACGCTCAGGGCATGACGCGTTCTCCAAGGAGCTGCGGGAATTCTAATTTCTCCTGGTGAGTAGGAACCGCCATAAATCCCACTGGAACCACCACCCGCCACTTGAGCGGGGACGAGAGCGAGGGACGGCACGCCGATCGCGCCTCCGCTGCAGACCGCACGGCCCGGGCCGAAGTCAATTTCATGCATTTTCCGCACGGCGTCGCACGAAAGGCAAGCCGGAATCGTGTTTCATCTTCGGCACTTACACAAGCAAGAGTTCCCCCGACAAATAGGGGGCGTTGCCAGGAATATGGCGGTGTGACGGCATGCACCGCGCTGGAATGCACGTACTTTGAATTGAGGGTTCAAGCGAAAGCGGGACCACTATTCTGCATAAGAGCACACGAACGCTCCAGAACAGAGCCATGGTCGGCACCGAAGAGGGAAGCACTTTGTAAACGCTTTTAATGTGACGGACAGGCGGGCAATGCCGGGGATTGACCACCCACACCCGGCACAAACACCCGAAAGCAAGAAATTCCGGATACTAAAAATGGAGATTAAATAACCACGCGCTGCAAGGCTCGAACCTCCGCATGAAGAACATCACAGAAAGCCCGCCTTCGCGCAGGAGAATTCCACCGAGAAAAAGTGCACCGCGTGCCTAAAATGGCAGGCACACATGCGTTGGTGAACGTCACGCTGTCGCCGATTTCACGACAGCAGAGGGGCCAGACCGCCGAGAAGACGCACGTTGCCCGGCGACGACAGCCCAATGGGATCACCACCGGCTGAGCTTCGCCGTCCAACATGCGTGTTTCAGTGCCACAGCAGTGACTGACTGACCCGCTACCGCACGGCGCGCCACGGCATTGACCGGAAATTGTGAGAACCGGCCGATTTGAACTGTGCGAAGAGGCAATTCTGCATTTACTCCGCTGCGGCTCCCACTTCGGGTGCCGGGGCTTTCTTTTAGATCTCCGATCATTGGGCGGACGTGCTCTGCGATGGCGGCTGGCGTGTGAGTCTTCGTATTTGTTTGAGCAGACACGAGGGATAGTAGCAATATATATCAACAGCACTGAATAGATATTAATACCGATATTTACATGCCCATCTATATACATATGCGGCCAATAAAGTAGCAATTCCATAAACCAAGAAACCAAGCAATCTGTCAATTTGGAGGGGAGAGAAGGGATGTATCCATATAAACAAGAAGATAAGCATCGATCAATGTATAGCGATATCGGTGTGGGTATGAGTATCAAAAAGTTACTTTATTTTTATTGATGCTTATTTTCGCATTTATATCTCTCCATATAATTTTTTCTAGGAGCTTGTGAAGAGAATGATCGCGGGAGGTCTGGCATACTTAATGAATGTGCGTAGATCCTGATAATTGAATGCATTTCTTTTTGGTGCTTTCTACCGTATGAATATATTGGGAAGTACACGACTTTAGGGGGACAGCAGGGAACCGATAGAGGCTAGATGCTTTTTATTTTTACCATTCCACCCACCCACTTTTGATTCCCACCATGCGGTGGGTTCTTGCGGTTGGAGGACCACAAAGTCTGCCATTTCGTCAGTAAATATATTAGATCCTATCTGAGTACAAAAGGCTGCGTGAGCGGCCAAAAGAATATATACATATATATAGTATCAGGAGAAAACATGTGGTAAATTAACTTCCTATGTGTTGCCCCTTTTCCTATGTTGTCTGGTTTCTTTACATAACTTCAGGATCCGGCCAGCGGTCAAGAAGATTACTCGAGCTCAATATTTACTCCACCCTGTATGGGTGACTGAATTGCTGTGGCTCTCTGTCATGTATGTGCATTTTTTATCCCTCTCATACCTTTCTTTGGGTGGTTATTGTTTAGATCTAACTCAATCCAACTAAGAAAACAAGGAGAAACAATGTCTGGAAGGCCCGAGGAAGGACTTTACGATAATGAGGAAATTCAAGCGCCTACTGTCCCGCAGGGATATCGGAGGAGAGCGAGGTCGGACTTTGAGGGTGACACAGATCACTCCTCTGCGACTCGCAGAAGAGTGGAGGAAACGCGTCGACCGCAGTGGACCATGAGAAGCACCTTAAAGGACTTCCTGCTGGAGGGAAACACTCTCAGGTACAAAATGAGGCTGAACGATTTCCTTCGGAGCAACTTGGGCGACACGGCGGCTGTTGATGAAGACCACAACGTGACGATGGAGGCGTTTGTTCAGGATCCAGATGCTTACGTACAAGACCAGCAGCTTCTTGAAGAGATTCTTAATTTAGCTGCGTACCAAGAGCTGAAAAGGGAGCTGGAGGAAAGGAAAATACTATGGGAGGCTGTTTATAAGCTTCACCACGAGGGTGTGTACTTTCTCGATCAATGGAGGGACTATGAAGGAAAGGATACGGTCGCTCCACTTGCAAGGAGAAATCTAAACAGAGTTCTCACTCAGGTACTGAGAGAAGAACGCCGCGAGGCAGAAGAAAGGGCAAGGCGGGACAAGCAACAAGTAATATTTAACTTATTTGCTAAGATCGAAGATTTGTTGTTTAGAGGAAGAGTTCGCGTCATGAAAATAAAGCTGAATGATTTTCTTACGCTGGAAATGGAAGGCAGAGGCATTTTGCGTGCCAATCGGAATGTCTTACTGAGGAATTTTATCAGTGATCCCACGAGGTATATCCGCGAAGCGGGAGTATTGGGCGAAATACAGGCAGCCGATGCTTATGCGGGGATGGAAGGGGCTGTGAGGGATGAAATGGATATGGAAGAGGATGTACGCAGGCTTCACGAGAAAGGTGTCAACAATCTACTGAGGTGGTCATTAGCTGCCGAGGAGGTAAAAGCAGGTGCTCGAGACAACAATAAAAACACATTGGATGCAGCACTTCATGAAGCGAGGAAGCCAACAATGACGATGAGTGCACCGATGAAACTGGAGGGATGCTACGAGTCTGTGTACAATGCGAGGTGGCATTGTGTCGTGGAGGTTCCTGTTGGCGAGGGGACGGGAATGTATGTGAGGGAAGGGGAAGCACAGCAGTCATGGACGTACAGGGCGGTTGGCAAAACTTTTGAAAAGAATGACGGTGTGGAGCAATCCGGTGCAGTGCGTCCCAGGCTGATGGTGCTCGCCTCGGACAAGGGATGGCCGTACACGTGGGGACAAGGGCTGAATGAACTTATTCCTGACTGCTATGTGAACTGCGAGGTGGATCGAGTGTGGCAGACCGTCAAGGGCGGTCTCACCGAGTGGTTCAGCAGTCACGGTAAGAACAAAATTTCGCCTGATCCGTTTGTGTTGATTGGGACGCCAGGGATCGGGAAGTCGATGGCTGCCGGCTCGTACCTTCTCTACCAGCTGCTGCACTACGATGTGGAGCGACTGCAAATGGTTGCGTACTTTATTGGGAATCGAAAATTTCTTTTTGACAAGACCACCAAAACGGTGGAAAAATACAGTGCGGCGTCTAATATCGTGGATATTTTGGACGAGTTTTCTGATCGTGGGTTGAAGGGGTATATTATCTACGACGTGGCATTGAAGGGTCATCAAACGTCTACTGCTTTGCCTTGCAAGGGATGGGGCATGATTGTGGTGACACCGCCAAACAAAAACAACTACGAATCGTGGGCGAAGCTGGTGCGAGCGAAAAAAATCATAATTAATTGCCCTGACGAGAGCGATGTGAGGGCAATGTGCATTTGGATGAAGCACAATCGGCAGCTTGAGGAGGAAGAAGCGGACTACTGGAAGAAGGTGAAGGATCGCATGGATAAAGTGGGACCACTTCTTCGCTACATCTTTGATGACAGCGAATACAAATCTCGGCTTGTCTCGTGCGAAAGTAGAGTTAAATCAATGAACC